CGGTTTGTCAATAAACCCTGTTCAATGATTCTCTTTCTCAAGTTTCCTTATTGAGTCTTGTTCGTTACAAATTCAATGTATAATATCTGTAGAGAAACACGCGCGTAATACACGCACAAAACTCACTCAAGAATATCAAAACAGGTTTTTCACCGATTCCGTTTCAGAATTTATGCAAAAATGGCGACCTTTTCATTGATATCGTATGTCGTTCACTGCCGAGGGAAATAGGTGCTTACTCAATTGTTTCCATCACCTGGGAGAAACAATCAAATGGATGAAAGATATCAGTGATTAAATAAAAATGTCCAACCTTTTTCGACGCTGACTTGGTAAATTCGCACTGGATTTACCGTCCACAAGTCTCTTGGATATTGTGGGTCGCCTGCTGAAACGATGAAGAGGATATAAAACAAAGATGAATTACAGAGGAAATTGAATAACTGAATGACACAGGTCAAAAGCGATTGACTTTCAGGTCAATCTAATTTGCTTTTCTGGTTGGAGGCATTTTTCTTTTTAAATTTTAGCTTCCAATTTCTTTCCATTCTGAAACTATCTTTATCCACCATTTGATTATCTCTGTCTCTCTCAAGAACGCCATTTCTTACTCTTCTTACTCTAAAAAATAAATTATACTTATTATAAAACCCAGGTTGTGTGTGTGTGTGTGTATGTGTGTGTGTGTGTGTGTGTGTGTGTGTTTGTACGTTTATATATTGGATCGGATTTCCTACATTTTTCAACCGATTTCAACAACACTTCACAGGACTACGTAAAATTACCTTGCGGTGGTTCTGACAGCGCCAAAAATTGGAAAAGCACAATTGTTTTTGCACGAAATCAATTTGAAAACACGATTAAAAGGCACCGCGAGAATGAAAAGGGGACAACTCATATCGAGTTATACTTATTATAAAACCCAGGTGTGTGTGTGTGTGTGTGTGTGTGTGTGTGTTCGTTTATATATGGGATCGGATTTCCTACATTTTCAACTGATTTCAACAAAACTTCACTATTTTTTTTTGGCATGTAGCGTTTCTTATTGTCTTGCACACTTTTTTCTTTATTTTTACATTCAGAATGCTTTAAAAATTCCATTTAGAAGACAATTGTTTATAATAAAATTCTATTCAATCGGTAGACTCATAGCGATTGAAAACAATGTTTTTGTTTGAGTTTGGGTTTGACCAATTCGTAAAAAAAAAAAGAAAAACTAATTAAGACATGCGTGTCCGTCAACCTTAAACTTAATCTTTGTCAATTTTATTTTTCAGTCTTTATGATGGTCGATACTTGATCTATCTCTTACTGTTACATCCCCGGGCAACGCCGGGCTCTACTGCTAGTAAATAAATAAGATAAAAACATTTTACGTACCTCCGACATTTTTAATCCTTTTTCACCACCTGGTATGTTAATTTTTCTTTCCCTTCTCTTAATTATTCCCTGCATTTCTTTTTTCTTTCTTTCTGTCGTTCTTTCTTTGTTTCATTCCCTATGCTTTCCTTCATTTTCCTCTTTTTTTTCTTTCATTTCGTTCTTGCTTCCTTCTTTGCATTCATTTTTCATTTTTTTTTTTACTTCTTTCCTTTCTTCTATATTTCTCCTTCCCCTTTAAATTTTCTTCATTCATTCATTTTTTCATCCATTCTCTTTATTAAGTTTTCCCGAGTGCACTGATTAAAATAAAATTTAAGAAACGAAAAAAGAAAGCAGGGCGTCTATTTCAAACACAGATATCCACTAAACACTAAGTAATAAATATTTAAGTCTGTATGATCAATATACCTTCGGTATCAAGGGTTGGATTCACTAAACCGATTTATATACTTTTTTTTATCTCTATAATATAATGATAGGAGACTGATACGTATTATTAACACCCAACACGCCCCTACCTTTTAAACAATCCGCCCTGGCTGTTACCATGGAAATTTTGATTTAAATTATGAATATGATATAAAAACACGTAAATTTCAGAAATAAGTTATTCCAAAAAAAAAAAAAAAAATTTCGCTTGAAGATGGAACAGAGCTTACTTTAATTCAATTTAATTCAAATAATTATATTGAAGTTTTCGGCTCTTGTTTTGAAACATGAGACCTCTTATGGCGCGAGTTGGAATCATATTTTAAATAAATAATTATATATATATATATATATATATATATATATATATATATATATATATGACGTCATACATTATGAAATGGAAAAGTCCGACAATTATTTTTTAAGACATTTTTATGTTTATACGTTCTTTTTATAAATACAAATATTTAAGTAAATACTTTGTTTTATAATAAATATATATAAATAAATAAATTTATATATATATACAGTGTAACCGGATATAAAGAGATTTGTCGGGACCGGAGAAGAAGTCTCTTATATCCGGGTTTCTCTTATATCCGGGTCTCTTATATCCGGGTTACACTGTATATATATATATATATATATATATATATATATATATATACAAGATGCATTCAAGAAGTTTTGAGACATTTTTTGGAAAGTCAATTATAACTTTCCTAAATTATTATAGTTTTAGTATATAATTACTATACATCTAATAAACTTACTTGCCAACTTGTCTTATGCCATACTGAATGTAACGTGACTATAACATTTCAACTTTCTTTTCTTGGCAATTGTTATCAGGTTTTCCTATGGAAGAGTTGCCGTTTTTTGTTGTTGTTTTTTTGCTAAGAGCAGTAAGGTAGAGAGTAGAGAAGAGGGTGCAATATCAGGGGTGAGGGCATCCAATCAAAAAGTGAAATAAAAATTTTGTTTTTGAAATTTGATATTGTCTCTGTTAACTTCCTTGTACAAGCGCCCTACAGCCCTACAGCCCTACAAGCTGGTGTAAATGTCGAGACCGGAGTAGTACTCCCGCGCTACTTCAGTCCCAGGAGCATACAGTCAAGGAGTTTTCCCCGGGCTTCACCAAACCTCTGCACATCCCTGGAAGCTCAAGGTGAAGAGTTTGAAATGTTTACACAATATAGATCGGAGCTGTAGGAGACTAATATTTGCTTCAGTTGGTAAAAATCGCATAAAACAGTTTGTCTCTACTAAAATGCCTGAATACCAGAAATGCTGATAAAAATACGCAGACGTTTGACTCGGTATTTACCCAAGTCTTCCCCCATAAGGCGAGATGTGGCACAAGGTCGGTTTTTAACATTGGGCTTTCCGAGCGCGTACGCACGGGCAAATTTCCCTGTAGACCCCTGCATACACGGGGGGTCAGGTGGATGTCTATCTCCCCAGACGAGACTCTGCCGTAGGCATATAGCCTCGTCTGAGTTCCTCTCCGTCTGAAGGCAGAGAGTTCGATAAGCAAAGTTTTGGTAAACGCAGTGGGATTTCAATATGCTTACCTGGGGTCAGGTTTGGGGCTTTCCTGATTAGTGAACTCACTTCACTAGCAATAGAATATGAGACTAATCTCTTTAGATTATACTGACAAAAGGCCAATTTAAATAACGGTTGCACTAAAAATCTCAGGAAAAAAAAAATGAAAATCAGCAATAGATTTTGCTCGTTTTTTTTTTTTTTAACTTGAATCCTATGTGCCTCAGGGTGTGGTAATATTACAGATGCGATTCACCCCAAATAAGACCAGAATAGACTTAGCACTTGTGATATCAAAGAAGCCAAGGGCATCGGTGGGTTTACCTGAGAGATACTGTCCTAGACATGAAATGCAGATCGGCTCGCTCGCACAATGTCAGTGGCTGCCATTCGACGAGTGGACTTGTGTCTGATTCAGCTGCGCCTAGAATATGCATGTGTGGAAGAAAACTATATAACCGCTTAGATATATGAACGCCCCGCGAAAATGTAGCGTCCACATTCAGGGAAAGCCTCCAAACCACAAACACATATTGAATTTGTCAGGTTCGTGAGCTGTTCTGAATACGGACTTCGATTCTCGTTTGGTGCCCCATACTTGTGACCTTGTGCCAAATTAAGCTAAGTGAATAACAGTTTATAGGAAGTACGCAACTATGTCAGTCCCGAGTTATGCCTGATGATAAATATTACTTAAGTTTAAGGATTGAAGAATCATGGCTTGTGCACCGAAACGCGTTGGTGCTGTTAAATGATCTTGGTTAGGGTTCGAGAAAGAGAGAAAACAGAGAGAAAGTGTGAGATAGAGAGAGAGTGAGAGAGAGAGAAGAGAGAGAGAAAAATGCGAGAGAGAGAGAGAAAGGAAGAAAGAAGAATATGTGAGAGAGAAAAAGAGAGTGAGAAAGTGTGAGAGAAAGAAACTGAGAGAAAGTGTGTGAGAGAGAAAGAGAGAAAGAGAGAAAAAAAGAGAAAGAATGTGAGAAAGAGACAGAGAGAAAGAGAGAGAATGTGAGAAAGAGACAGAGAGGAAGAGAGAAAGAAAGCGAGAGAGAAAGTGTGAGAGAAAGAAAGAGAAAGAGAGAGAAAGTGCGAGAGAGAGATATATATAAATAGATACGAAAAGAATAGGATAGATAGATAGATAGATAGATAGATAGATAGATAGATAGATAGATATAAGAAGGCATAGATAGATAGATAGATAGATAGATATGAGAAGGCATAGATAGAGAGATAGATATGAAGAGGCAAAGGTAGATAGAGATGAAGAGGATATGATAGATAGATAGATAGATAGATAGATAGATAGATAGATAGATAGATAGATAGAAATAAAGAGAGAAACATAGATAGATAGATAGATAGATACCCCCAACCCAATAAACAAACAGGGAAGTAAAAAGAATCGTTTGGCTCCTTTGATGCGTATAGATTTTCTTTCCCATGCAGACAATGTCTTATAGAATCTTGGATCAGGTTAGGCTTCAATCAAAGAGGAGTGAATGGAAAGGCGAACCGGGGCGAATTGTAGGCAGACAAATACTACGTCCAATTGCCGACATAATCACTCAAGTCACGTTTGATGAGTCCGCCAATTGGAGGGAAAAATATCGATTGTATCAGTTGTACTAGACAGGTCAAGGTGGGAAAGAAAGAAAGAAAGAAAGAAAGAAAGAAAGAAAGAAAGAAAGGAGAGGAAAGTGTTTATCGATTAAGGGCGTAAAGAGACTGCAGAGATGTTTTCGACTAGAATGAAAAGATTGAAAACACGAAGAACAAGACGAAGAAAGTAAATGGAGTCGAGGCAAAAAAGTAAAAAGAAAGAATAAACAAGAACATGGCAATGGAGGATAAGAAGAAAAAAAACTATGGCGATGAAAAAAGAAAGAAAAAAGAAAGAAAAGAAGAAGTACATATGAAGACGCTAACAGGGATAGACAGATATATATATATATATATATACATATAAAGAGGCTAAAATTAGCTTGCTAGCTAACTACATAGATAGATAGATAGATAGATAGATAGATAGATAGATAGAAATGAAGCGGCTAAGATAGATATGCAGAGACTAAAATAGATAGATAGATAGATAGATAATGAAGAACCTAAAATAGTACTTGAGAATAGGAAAATTAAAGAGACCTATGTCGAAGAAGAAGAAGAAGAAGAAGAAGAAGAAGAAGAAGAAGAAGAAGAAGAAGAAGAAGCTAATATGTAATAAGAAAAAGAACACTTAAAAGTAACGGAGAAAAAAAGAAAGAAAGAAAGAAAGAGAACAATAAAACAGAAAAGAAGAAGCTAATATACACTAAGAAAAGAAGGGACAATTTAGAAGAAAATAAAAGGAGAAAGAGAGAAGAAGAAATGGATGAAGAAGGAGAAAGTAAGAAGGATAAAGAAGACGAAGATGAAAAATAATCTGAAATGGAAGACAAAAAAAAAAAAAAAAAACCGTAAAAAACGAAGAATAAAACAATTAAAAGCGGAGATCTAAGCAGATACGAAGATTTGTCTCCGCTTCTGGCGGTATTGACGCCATCATTGTCAGGTCACTTTTAGTGCTGCACAATGATCAAGTTCAGGTAAGCCAAAGACCCATTTGACAGTCACTCGTTGATATTTGTCCTTGAGAAATGCGAGGCGAAGTTTAAGAAGACTTGGTGTCTATAATAGTTGTGAATACGTGTTCATATAAATAGATACGAAAAGAATAGGATAGATAGATAGATAGATAGATAGATAGATAGATAGATAGATATGAGAAGGCATAGATAGATAGATAGATAGATAGATAGATAGATAGATAGATATGAGAAGCCATAGATAGATAGATAGATAGATAGATATGAGATGCCATAGATAGATAGATATATAGATATGAGAAGGCATAGATAGATAGATAGATAGATAGATAGATAGATAGATAGATAGAGATGAGAAGCCATAGATAGATAGATAGATAGATAGATAGATATGAGAAGACATAGATAGATAGATAGATAGATAGATAGATAATGAGAAGCCATAGATAGATATATTGATAGATAGATAGATACCCCCAACCCAATAAACAAACAAGGAAGTAAAAAGAATCGGACTCTACTTGGAAAATTGGCGCAACACAATTCCTCTCTCATTATGTCAACATTTGACCTTTTACTGTGCTAAAATAATTTTATTAAATTCACCCACGCAATTTTACAGCTTTGAATGTTGTTCTGTTGGTGCGACTACACATGCGCATGAACGAGGGATGCTGGGAAATTTCAATTTATTTATTTATTTTTTTTTTAATCTAGCCGATTTCATTTAGATGTTTTTTTCTTTTCTTTTCATCACTTTTGTTAGTTAATATTCCACATTGCGATGACAGAAGATTGGCCAGGAATGGCGGGATGTTGTAAGAGGCACGGCGTAAAGTTACTGTAAAAGACATTGCAATCAAAGCAGTCTCAAGACATTTTCGTTTTCTCAGAGAAGAATTTTGATCTCAAAATTGTGGCCTGTCTCGTTGTGTGTGTGTGGGGGGGGTGGCAACCAACGCATGTATTGTTTTATAGAATCTCCTTTTTGTGGTCATATTATCTTTTATTTAGATCCCTTTAGATTTTTTATCCTATATATTTATTTCTGCTATGTATTTTTTATGACAATTTTAACTTTTCCACTTATATATATATATATATATATATATATATATATATATATATATATATATAATTATGGACACCAAAGTTCAAGCTACCACGCTACCCAGGTTTCAACTGTTAGGTCTCCTCAGGAAGGTAGGATAAAAGATTTTAGTTTGCTCCACCACCTTTATATATGAACACCGTAAGATAGGAGGAGGGGACGGGAGAGGAATATATATATATATATATATATATATATATATATATATATATATATAATAAATGCAAATGTCATTGTGTCATACTTTTTCAGTTAAAGGGACACAACTCTCAATAGCTCATCTTCTTCTATATAATAAATGCCAATGTCACTGTCTCACTGTGTCACACTTGTTCCAATTTGTTTCTAGAGACCGTAGCCCAACATAGCATACCATTTTGAAATCAGCAAATTAAAAACATTCCGCCTGTATCCAGATCCACAATCCTGAAATTTTGGGTT